GGGGTTCGAGGATCTTTAAAGATCCACGGCATTCCGAAGAGGAACGTTTCGGCGATAGCAAAAGGGTTCCTGGAAAGTCCTGAAAAAGGATTCGCGTTCCAACGAACGGTGGTCCTCGATATCTCGATCTTCGCAGGACTCGTAACTATTATTTGTTCATCTTTTTATTTAAAATTTTCAAACATTCGAGCATGATCTGCTTCTTGTCAGCTTTACAACTGACAGAGGAGAAATCGGACGAATAGGAAACGATGACTAGGATCTTGGATCGATGATTTGGATCATGGAGCAACGATCATCCAGGCAACAGCAATTAGCCTGTTAATGCAATCAGTAAATTGGCGCCAATGTCGCGGTCGACTGCTTTCCCACAAAGTTTCAAGCAGAAGATCGGCCCAATTACGCGTTAGAGTGATAATTGGTGAATTTATAGTCGGCTCTGTCTCGGTCGTCGGTCGACAGCGATCTCCTCCATTGGCCCGGGGACGAGGAATTAATTGTCTAATTATCGTTAATACTGGCCCTCTTCAACAACCTCCTTCTCCCTCACCTTCCAACTCAATTTCTCGATCGAACACCGTTTTACGAACCCATCCGTCACCATCTGACCACGCTCGCGTGTAGTTGAAACGATGCATAATGGCTAATAGCCAACGTTATCAATTAATTTAATTGAAGTACACTTACCCAGTTTAGCGAGGGAAATTAGTTTCTATTTAACGCGTTATAATACATTATAATTGCGCACTCGTCTAACGAAGTCGAACGATTAAAAAAACAGGAGTCTTAATAAAAACAAGTCGAAAGAAAAAGAACGGGCTGGATAGACGCGCCAGAAAGACGGTCCAAAGAGGACGAAAGTTTTTCGTCGCGTGCCACGGGGTCCACCGACGGGACGACTGTCGATCAACGATATATTAAAAAAGCAAGAAGCAAAAGGTCCTAGAATCGGCTTACATATTGATACGGAGGACCCCTTCGTAAAATCAGGAATCACAAAAGGATTCGAAGCTGAGACCGTCTATCTTTACTCCCGTGCTCTAAGGGCATTCTCTCGCTGTCGAGAATCGACTATTAATTCACGATAGGTGAAATTAGAAATGGTAATTGACGTTAAAGAGGAGGAACGAGCACGAGGGTGATTAGTTTTTGTCCGGCAGCCAACTCTGCTAGCACTCGACTCGAATTAGTTCCTCGCTGCATGAACGTCCGTAGAAACGAAGGTGGACCCACACGGTGGTTGGAAAGAGAGGAAAAAAGAGAGAGAGTGAGAAGTGGCGAGGAGAAGGGTGAAACAAGTGGGAGGGAGCGGTCTCTGGGAACATCACAAAGCACCCGGGCAAACCACGTCTCCTGCTCGCTCTGCCTTTTGCTTTATTTCACTTCGTTTTTAATTCCTCCCAATTCCACTGTCAAGAACCCAGCCGCCGACACGAAAAACCAAGGGAGAGACTCCTCTTTCTATTCTTTCTCTTTCGCTACCCTCGACTTTTGGTTAACCCTCGGAGACACGAAAATCCCACCGATAAGAATTATTAGCAGGACCGATTAAATCACGCGATTTTTCGGCAAAATTTCGCGCGACAGTAATTGTCGCAAAAGTTGTAGACGAAATTATCGCGAGCGTTTAAAACATTTGGAGAAAGATCGTTGATGGTGGTGGGACATTTCGAGTCGAAGCAAAAATGAATGAAGTCCGACCGAGACCGAGTGCTGCCTGCTTGTCCCGAGCAGCATGTAGAAGCTTTGCTAATGTCATTATAATGGCCCGTCAAGACATCCGACCATTTGTCTCGAAATTGCCGAAAAATAAAGGATCCTAAAGTATCTCGGGTTTCGTGCCCTCCTGCGGGAAACAGGATTCACGACTTTCTGGCGAACAATCTTTCACGGTCTGTGCCGAATTTATGCGAACTAAATTTCGTACGAACGTTATCGAGGCACCGTGCAGTTTTCGAAGGATTTTTGTACTATGCGACTTGCTTTAAAATTTGCTCGTTTAAAATTTCGCGACGTTTCCGAGTAAAACGAGAGGAGAGGAGATAGCAGCGGGTCGGGAGGCAGAATTAGGGAATCCGTGGAGCGAGAGAAGGTAGCAGGGAACAGCTGTCGGCAACCCCAGCTGTCCCCTTCGATCGTTTATTGGGCCATCTCTTGACGGGGTGGCGAAAAAGTTCGCCGGGTCCCAGAGCCGATATCGTTTGCGTCGTCTCTTTCCGGCCGTGCAGCTTCGTGGAACGACGTTTCCGATTCGCGTCGCCGCGGATTTTTTGTAATTAATCCCCGGCGCGTCGCGACGGCAACACGAGGCGGTGGAGGGCGACGGAGGGCGACGAATAAGAGCGAAAGAAAAGCACGACCAAAGGTGGACAAAAATGAGGAACAGACGAAGAGAGAGAAGAAGAAAGCGTAGAAGGAGTCGGTAGCAGGGATAGAGGGAGGGAAGAATGAACACGAAACGAAAGGGAATAAAAGTGAGGGGAGAGAGCAAGAGAAAGGACAAGAAGGAAGAAGAAAAGAGGAAGAACGGAGAGACCAGTCTGGCGCGGTGTATCCGGTTTTTGCTGGCGTCAGATGACAGTCGCTTATTTACCGGGGCCCGCGGCCATCTTGCTGCGATCTGACTTAAGGAGGAGGCCCCGAACACGCAGGAGATCGAAATGAAAAAACAAAAAGAAGAAGAAAAGGAAGAAACGATCGAGAATCGAGAGGCGACGGACGTGGTCTCAGCTCGAATTAATCGATCGGTTATCAACGTCCACAGGATTCGTGGAATGGAAGAAATATGGCAGCCGTTCTGGGCCCGCAAAAGAGACACGGCTATGTATGATTTTCTTATTGTTGCGTTACCTTTCCTCCTGGTTAACGACGGTGTCTCGTTTTATAAGTTTAACCTGCCCTTCGTTTTTCTTCTTTATTTTAATACACGTTGCCGCTGCACCAGCTATCTTGCTTTTCTTATTCGATTCATCTTTACGAGATGAATTTCATTTTCGCGAATTTACTCCGCTTCGATTCACCGGACGATTCGTGACGAAGGAGCACGGTTTAGGAGCTCGGTTGCGTAATTACCTGCATTTTCCCCCGTTAATTATTCGCGAGAACAGAAATTAATTATGCCATCGTGTGGCTCGAGAAACGAAGGAATTCCAGGTAACGGGTAAGCCACGTCCGACGAGCAAATGCAAAAGCTACCGATCCACCGTGGATAATGGAGCACGCTTTAATTACCGCTAATTAACATGTTCCTGTCTGATCGGAGTCGGCACCGTTTATACCCAACCACTCGAGAATCGAGACCTTTGAACACTCCATCGTTCTCCCATTACAGCCTCCTCCTTTTACGATAACATCGGTGATGAAGCATGTTAAGATCCTTCTTAAATTTTATATACAATATAGAAAATTCAAAAATTCGACACGCTTTATTTACGTCGATGATACTTCAAAAATAATTTGTAGCTTTTAAAGAAATTTGCTTAAAAATTTTCAAAGAGAAACTTTACCAAAAATTAATTCCACCGTTTAGTTATATTAGAAATGATACTCGATACGCTGTCTCGGATCGTGTGCAGCGTTCAAAGACACGCCAGGGAATCTTCCTAATAGAAAAGAGGGTGAGTAACAAAGACACCCCCGAGAGGAACGGAGAGATTCGCGATACGTCCGTGCTACAAATGAAACACTCTTCCCACCACCCACGCAAACATCTCCTTCCTTTCATTTGTCATCTCAGCTTTGCGTTTGACTCGCCAGTTTCTCTCCCCGTTGTCTGTCGCGTCGCGATAGTTTTGTCCCTGACTAAAATCATATCGCAAAATCGTTCAACCGTGTCTCGAAATCCTCGTGGAAATTCCTGCTACATCCTGGATTTTCCTTCTGAATTCTTACCAACGATCGACAACGAATGACCTTGGCTACGAGGATCACGAGGAGGTACAACGAGGGTCCAGGAAACGGTCAACACTTGTTTGGCAGACACCCCTTTCTTTAGACACCCTCCTCTCGCGAGTCTTGTCTTTCACTCGCCGCTGTTTTCTTTCCTGAGCGTGAAACTTTTTTGTTGAACCTTGTTGAATTGAAGTCTGTTTTTCTGCGCCAGAGATCGGAGTCCTATCGACGATTGGTGCGATCTTTGATCAGAAACAAATGATTTACGATCGATTTAAAAGTTTGCTTTAATCGCGAGAAAGAATTTTTGGAGCTTTTTAGATCGAAAGGGAAAGAAGGTGTAAAAGACGGTATCGTGTGTGTGTTTGAATGGTTGCACGTTAATTAGTTGCCGAGAAGTTTTCGGGCAAGGCTGGAAGAGTTCGTCTGGTTTCTAGGTGGTCCCAAATTCTCGAGTCATCATTGCCTCATTTACTTTTGTGAAACAATCTTGCCGGCAGTTCAATGGGTCTAACTACATTAAACTTGCCACTGGGTAATTAAACTTCCTTGTAAATCCTTGCCATGCCGGATAGATTTAATTAATTAACATCTACCCTATTTTGATATCCAAACAGCGATTGTTCCCTCGTAACACTGGTATAAAATCGTGAAGAATTTGAAAAACGTAGAAGGGAGAAAAAATGGAGGGAAACAGGAAATTCAGAGAAGCTGCGATGGATTATTAGGGTGCGCCAGATTTCCTGGGCTAAGTCCCTTCCTTTTTTTACTTATTTTCTTTCTAATCCTTACAAATGCCACGGCAATCAAGCTTTTTCCCTAATTCGTATTACGAAGGACCCGCATGCGAGTTCTAATCTTGACGGAACGCACCACCGTTCCTTCGCGGCTATTTGTTGAAACACCTGTGCTTCATAAACAATCCCGAGGGTCACTGTAAAATCCTTGCTCTCGGTCCACATCTGAAAAAGCCTAGAAAGAAACCGTATACTTTTTGCCGTAAATAAAGCAGTATTTTTATTATAAAATTAAAAGAAACGCATAACGAGTATTGGAACACCGATTTCGTTTGATCAGGGAATATATTGATCGAAAGTAAGACGAAGGAATATTCGTATGCACGATCAGCACTGTCGTGTCCTGTTTATTTTCTTACTTTCTACGACGAACAGTAAATTATTCCTATATGATTCCTAGATCGTTCGAACACACCTAATAACCATTATCTACGCAACGATAGCGACACGTAGTTGCAGTTAACTATATCCGGAAATTGAGACGGAAAAACGTTAGATGGAGGCGATAATTAAAGTACGCGAAAGCACCCTTTTTTGTCACAATGTATACAGGCGTTAAAAATACAGCGTACGTATTAATCCTCGAATAGCAGAGTCGAGGCAATCGTGACTTTCGTACACGACCGAGCTCGATAGGATCCTCTAGAGAAAACGATTCCTTATTCAACATTCGGCGCATTTTTTCTCTAGGGATACTTATCTCAGCTCTATATCGTAAGCGACAAAATTATTTGGGAAGCTCGCTTTAAATTTAACAGATGATTGCCAATTAAAACGAAGCTTTAAATTACCGATTTGATCGACAAACAACCGTCTCCTCTATTCGAGGGTTATTTAATTCCCAACTGGAGAAAAATCATTCTGAAAATTGTTTTACAATTATAATTCTCTCGGCATTTCGGAACATAAAAAAGTATGTACAAATGTTTTACTTGGCTACTAAAAACTTAAAAAATTCAGGATGGTTCGTGGAAATGATCGAAGTTACATATTTTTGTTTACAATTCAAGAGGCGCTGAGATCTCGCACGAACTTCACGCAATCATAATTTCCAAAATCAAACAGTGTCTCGTTAAAGGATGCAAAGGGAGATATTTCGACCCAGTATCACGAGTAATTATCGTTATAATTATCGATATCAAAGGTGCGATTCGTCGTTTATCTACTACTGCGATAAGGCATCTTTTGATTTTGATTTCCAAAAGTTTGTCTACGATATTATGATTCGTGGGTAAAAAGATTCGCGTCTCTAATAGATCTAACAACAATACACGTTTCTATCATTCTAAACAAGGAAAAGAAGAAAAACAAATCACATTCCTTGATCATTTTCGCAACCATCTCGCCAAACACTTTCACCATTACATTATTACTTGATTCTCGTTAGAGAACAGAATATGGAACACTAATCGATCGATCGATGATTACAAAAAGCGATATCGAATCGTCTTTGGATTTATTATGCACCGCATTTCGCTCGCAGTGCCTTTCGTTTTCGTTTCTCTCTTTTTTTTATCGTTTACCCTAATCTGTGCGTGAAATATTAATAATAGTAGTACTTGATATTAATAATAATAGTAACAATATGAAAACAATTAATTCTCGATATTTTCCCTCGGATATTTCCTCGAAGACGAACGCGCGATTAGCATTTCGTTAATTGTATATCTGTATACATTATCGTACAGACTATATCTATATATCATATAATATATGATAACTCGTGTACAAAAATATTTTATGTTAAATCGACTATTGTTATTGAAACGTCTCGCCAATAATGCAATTTGTCTATCCCCTGATCGTTGCTGAGGCAGATCAGCTCGGCACCAATTCCGTTCCTGGAACAATTAAACGTACGGTTAATTAGCGACGATGAGCGACAGGAGCAGGAAACTAGGAAAGGAAATTTCTGGCTGTGCACTTTTCTGCAAACATAGTGTCAGTGAAACGATTACAGCAGGATATGGAGAATAAGAAAACTGATGCAGTAGCTGTAAAATAAATTTAAACAGAAAATTAATATATTTTTGATCGTTCCTTTCGTCGCATTTACGCGTGACGTTCGTGGCAAAAAAAAGAGACAATAGTTTCGTTATCGTAACTTTTCTCTCCTCTAAGAAGAGACCTTCTTTCGGCAAAGAAGCTAACTTTCAGAATAATCCTGTGTGCGTTTGTGTGAATCAAAGCGGTGGCATCCATGGAATCGAATGAAACGCGATTCGCGGTTCACTGACTTTTCCGAAATGTTTTTCCGGCCGAGAAACAGGAAATGACCAGGACTCCATTCTTTCGTCGGACTGTTCTTTTGTTCCTCGACCGCGAAATCCTTTCTCGCGATGCTCGCCGAGTGTCGAAGGGGAAAAAAGCTCGATCAGAGACTGTTTTGTCCGCGAGGCCACGGATTCCCGCAAAACAATCGCTGTAGCTCATTTTTTAAAAATCCGAGCAATACAAGTTTCTTCTATCGAATGTGATAAGCATTCTTTTTTCTATTCAACTCTAAGAAGTAATTAATAGTTGGTGAAATACAAAAAGAGAAAAAGAGAATGATGTACCAAAAAATGGATTTGAGTTTCGGTACACTATCAAAATACTTTTTTGACTGGATGTCATGCAGAGTGAGAAAGGAAGTTTGAACGTACAGGCGTAAAAGTTTCTTCTATTTTCTCCCTCCCCAGTTTTTTGCTATTAGCTAAGTATACCGCCTCTGGCTTATGTTAAGCTTCGGCAATTATTTGTCATAGTCAGCTAAGACGAGACCGGAGACAAAAGCGCGAAGGGAAAATGGGGATGAGAGCCCTCAGGATAAGACGTTCCCATCAATTTCGCTAGGATCGTTTCTCGTTTCTACATTTCCGTTTCCCAGCTTGACCTTCATCTTATCCGCGATTCGATTAATCGCGATAAAATAAGTTATCAACTTAGAAGCGTACTACTGGTGTACTGATACGATGATTTTGTTTCTTGAAGTCGAAAGTATAACGTTAAAAAATCGACAGTCTAACTTTAAAATGAAAGGATCAGAAATCTCCGTTCAACCAGAGAAGTATCAGCGAGAAAACGCAACGAAGCCATTGGATAGCTCGTGAAAATGCTCGAGGCCCGTTTGAAACGACATAATAATCAGCCGGCAACGAAAGATTGCGAGGAACACTCGCTCCACCGACCACGGAGAGGAACACCTCTTTTCTACCTAACTTATACTTATTATTGCATTATCTCCTTTGTCCTAGAACGACTCCAAGACTCGGGGAGGGAAGGAAAAATATAACAAGAAAACGTAAAGTAAGGAAAGGTAGCGTAACAAGTTGAAATAAAATTACTGAAAAAAGAAACCGCTGAAGGACTCCCATATTTTAATATATTTATCTCGCAAAAAATGTTTTGGATTTTCTATGCACTCGGGTCATGTCTCGTGTTTCATGTCTCTGCGAACAGGTGCATCCTCTACTATCCTCCTCTCCTTATTCCCGCGTCTTCTTTGCGTTCTTGCGACGCTTAAGCACGCGGCCAACGATCAAGATAATGTCTTCATCTCTCGCTTTCCGCGAGCAGTAGATTGCTCGCGCCGCGGATCCTGCTTCTTATCTGTACCGTGCTTTTTCGCGATAATAGCGCGTGTAATTCTAACGGTTAACAAAAAGAACCTTTTATTTCTCCAAAGAGGAAGAAATTAATACGGCTTCTCTTCCAAAGGGTTTCCCCAGTCCGAACGATTATCTACAAATTTGTTGCTCTCCTTCGGAAATGTCGAAATACACCGTAAACTGGATTTGACAGCTTCGGAGGCAATTGGAAAGTAATAAACGTTGCTAATTTTGGGTACAACCACCGTTTCTGACATGTTGGCCTCGCGGAAGGGGTGGGCTGTTTCTCATGAATGCGCCGCGGAGTTTCGTGAGCTCCTTAATGAACCGAGTTCGCGAAAACCATTAATAACCGAAAGCCAAGAGTCCGGAAAGAGAGAAGACTGTGGCAGGAATAGGGACGAAAGCTTTCCGACCCCTGGGGAACATCCAGAAGCGTTCGCGGAAAATACTTTTATTCGAAGAAAAAAGATCTAAATTTGACAATGTGTTATTTTGCGTAACAAACCTGACTCGTTCGAGAATCTAAGATCAGAATCGTCCGTGATAAAATAACAAAACAAAGGATGGGTACAGTAACAGCAACAAACGGAAGGGATGAGAAGTTCGAAAAGAAGAAATCAGAGTAAGGAGGAAGTGGTCGAAGGGGGTGTCTGGCAGTCCTAATGCGACGTATCAATATACGTGGGTGCCAGTGATGGGCCAATATCGCATAAGTGGCCCGATTCACCGTCATTTGTTACGTTTTGTTCGGTCTAAGTAATTTAAGAGTCACCCTTTGCTTGCCACCCTCTTCAACCACGGTAAAGGACACCGGGGTAGGGGTCGTAGAAGGAGAATCTCCTCGGAGCAGCAGAGAGAAAGAGGGTGGTCGTACTTTGCCTCCATTCTTCGGTAAATCGAGGCATATTTGTCAGATTTTTGTTCGAGAACAAAACCTCGACGACCTTTCCTCGAAGAAAAGGGGTGGGGGGTTGGTTTGGACCGTCGACGAGGGTTTGGGAGTTAAGTGGATTGGTTTCGTCGGAGATCGGCGCGAACGTCTGAACGCGTTCAACTTAATTCGAACCATCCTGCCAGCTACTTGATTTCACGACTTCCGGACCTCGAAAGGGGAAGCCTGTCTTCCGTTTCAATGGCTGCTATTCTTTCACGATCGAATCGCGAAAGATCTTTGCCCTCCAGAAATCGCTTATTTAACCCTATCTGTACGATTGCCTTCGTTGGAAACTTTCGTACATCGATCTCGTAGCATTTGAGAAAGTCAGCAAATTGCAAATTAGGTAATTAAAGAAAATAATATGACGGAGGAAACACATTGAGAAATATATAATTTTCACTCACCCTTGAAACCCTTTTCCGGACAACTAGATTCGGGGTTGTTCGCGTCTGCCGTCACGTCTGCCTCGTTTTCAATTGGCGTGTCGATCTGAAATCACATAAACACCCTTATTCATACATATTCATCCGACCTGTTATCATTTTAAACGTTCTTAGTTTACACGAACTTGTTTTTCGAGTAAACGGAGACTGATTCGGATACGAGTAACTGTTTCTATGCACGATATGAACCGAAATCTTCAAATTTATTATACTTTGAAAGCACTTTCGTGAAAGGGGGAAGAAGGGACGAAAAGCGACGATGGATTTTAGTGATGCACATAAAGGACACGTGTGAACAGCTGCCGACGTTCGTACGAGCGTCTTCCCACGCGTCTTCGTGGATCACACGTGGGATCCCAAAGTGTTCCACATGGAACACGAGCCACGTGGATCACGATTCGTTCATTTTGTCCAGGAAACTGTCCTACGTACCAAACGTTTGCAAAACGAATCATTTATTTGCTTTTCGAGCTGCGCGACACTCTCATCGCTTCGATTTTATTAAGCTTTAGAGGAACAAAAAGTTTGAAACTATTTCACAAGGTATCGCAAATTAATACCCACGATATATCAAACTGAAGCTAAGGATTGAATGAAAGTGATTAAAGAAAATTTGGTGAATAGTCTCTCGTATAAAATGACTCGGATCGTTGATTTCAAAATATACGGAGCCTGATTCGACGAGAAAAAAGTAACGACTGAGTTTCGCGTAGGTGTAATTATGCTTCTGGAACCCCTTTTTCCCACAGAACTAAATATAGCAAGTGTCATCCGATGGTCTGGACACACATGTCCCGTGTAGTCACATCTGGTCGCTGTTTCCTGCTAGCCGTCGCATCTTCTGCAATATGATTTATTTTCCAGAGAACGAATCCCACAGATTCATCCGCGCGTTAGACCAAACACAGTCAGTGACCAAAACTAAAAGAAACATTAGGTACATGCCCTCGCAGATGAGTCTTCGAACTTCTAACCGGAGTAAAAAATCTCAGTGAGTTATCGAGAGATAACCTTCTGCTTCTCCAAACAAAATAAAACACTTCTCGATTCTCGGAATACAAGGAACAAAAGTTTTGAGTCAGAAGAAAATCGTTCGACGAGTCATCTTCTACTTCAAGGATCAGTAGATGATTCCCCGAATCTCCGAACAGACGAGTCGTAGAACGTTCCACATGTTAATCATCGAATAATAATAGTTAGATAGGTTAAGAAATTATGGTTGAACGTTCCCAGTTTCGTCAAACGCACGAAATGTTGAAAAATGATGAAGCAACAAGTTGTAAACGTATCCAGAGGGTAGCTCTTTCTAAGAAAGCAACAAGGAACATCCCAGAAGCTACAAGATCGAGGTCACCAACATCAGGAATGCACGGTGCACCGCGAATTCCCCGAAGTTTCTTTCCTCCTTTCTTTCTTTCATCTCCGAAACATTATTCTCGAGCCTAACAGCGGGCCCGTCCCAGCCCCGATGATGAGAACGGAGGAACGACGAGGTAAGAGGGGCCAGGTAAACAGCGTCTACGAGAGGCCAGTTTTGAAATGCTCGGCAATATAGTGAGTTCGTTACGAGGCTCGCCCCGACGTGGTATGGCTCATAATTGTAGAGTTGCCTTTCGAGAAACACACCTTCGGGCACCCAGTTGCTCTCGACTGACACCTATTGTCCACTGGAAAATCCTCCGATACTTTCGAACATCGATACATTTTCTATTCGACCTAACTTTCGAGCTCTCAAATCTGTAATCGATAAAACGAAGATAGATCTATCGAGTGATCGCGCTAAAGAATTAAATTTGAAGAGCGTACAGTAACTCGCAGACGAAGAAGGAAAAATTGAACACCGATGAACGGTCAAAATATTTCCTGGCCGAGGATGAAAATTATTAGCCACAGAATGTCTTAATTCTCGGCGGCGGAACGAAGACTCGCGGTGCTCGGCTTTTAACATAAATTCTTTTTTCTTTGACGCGGGGATGCAACTTGTAAATGGTGCAACGCGAAGTGCACTCCGGTGCATAATGCAGCCGAGGCGTTGAATGGCGCTTAAGCGGTGTTTCAACCCTTGGTAAACGATTTTCTCGAGAAATTTTGTTATTTCCCAACACTATTATTTCAGCGGATCGTGTTCTTAGGGTTCTTAAATGTATTTTTTACTTCGTTTCGAGGATACAAATATCTGCATCGATTATTCGATCCAGAGTGCCGTTCCAACATTTCTTGTTTTTGTTCAGAAATGATCAAGTGTTACAGAGTAGTGATACTCCACAATTTCCCTGTAGTTGTACGCTTTTCATCAAGAATGCGTGTCTTAAGTTATTCCCAGGCTGTCTTGAGTTATTTATCTCTCCAAGGGGTGAATCTTACCCCTTCCTCTGACCGCGTCTTAATACGAACCGCGGAGAATATAAACTCACTGCTATTCCTAGTATACATTCCTTTGAAAATTACACTAACCGTATCGATTAATATATAGCTGCTCAAATAATATTCATCGTTACAAGTAGTATGCAACTGTTTTTACTATCATAGTAAAGGATTTAAATCTTCGGTGCTCCTTCACACGATCCAAACGCAGATTTCCATGAACAAATTATAGAGAATGAATATAACATCGAAATAATCGAAAGAAAAAAGACGAAGCTGAAGCTGATGAAGCTGTTACGAGTTCGGAGTCAGTTTACAGGAAAGCCGAGTAAAACATTCGAGCGAAAGAGAGCGGAAAGCAGCAACGGGAAGACTTAATACAAAGGAAGTTACGTGGTGGAAGACCGCACGGTGTATAAATTCAAAGTAGATTAATATTATCCCCGTGGCTGTCGCGGCGGCAAACTTATGGCGCTAATTCGGCCGACGAATTATTACTCGGCGCTGCTTCCAGTCAGCCCCACCGTGTGTTTTGCCAAAAGCCCACGGAGGGAGGGGTGTCCTGTCGTTAATAGAAGTCGTACGTGCTCTACAGGACACGGGAGAGACGTGTCCTTGGATATTAGAACTCCCTTGATCCCAAATTCCAAACGTGTACCGCGATTAACCGAACAATTTCATATTCTATAATCTTCGATAACGGTGATAACAATTCTCGTCCGAAAGCATTGGTTCCGAAATAAAACAGTTCGTTCCAAACATTTAATTTTCGACATCGGTTCGTCCGCGTCGAGTCGGGTCGTTCGATAAAAATGAATTCGCATTGTCATTCTAATCTCGAGGCTACAGGGACGAAGATGCCCGAAAGGTCTTTTAAGGAAATTAAGGACGGAGAGACCCTGTATTGTCTCTCGTCTCGCGATAACTACGAGAAGAGAAGCGTAGACAACAGCTGTTTAGCATCCCCGATGAAAAAGTCAGCCCGGTAATTATTCAAATTATTTTGAAGAAGGGCCATGGTTTTCTCGGCTCGGCCACAGAGGCGGATGTCTTTATACTCCCCTATCCGGGTCTACCGGGTGTGAAGGAAGTGCACAGTGATCCTCTCATTGGTCTCCAAACGACCGACGAGAAAAAAGAAGCACAACAGCCACTTTGTGCGAGGCTCGCTCTGCTTTAACCCTCGAAAGCCGGATACAGGGGCATTCCAGACGCTTTAAAATCTAATATTAAATTAATATTTATCGATCGATCGAGCAACGTTTACTTGGTAAAATAGTACAATGAAATTCTGTTCTCCATTGTGAAGATATGCGAGAAAGGGTTATCACGTGGAAGAAACGAATCAAAGCGTTCGTAATAAATGGAAGAAAAAACAAAAGACAGGGGTGAAAGAAAGAGAAGAAAAAAGGGAAAGAGAAGCCACGAAGGTAGAGATTAGACGAAGGAGAAGGTTTTTAGACGACACCGAGATCGTGTTGTGTGCGAAGTGACTGATGAGTTTTCCGCTCGATTGGAGAACGGGTGAAGCCAACACTCGCTCATTTTTCTGTCTTCGTCGATCTCCAGACATTCACTAACGTTCGACCTAAATCTCGAGCAACTTTGATAAATTCCTAACTGCGATGCCGTATTTTATATTTAGAAATCCTATTTGCAGATTCATTATATCGCAAAACGTAAACGTCGATTGTCATAAACTCGATGAGAAAAAGCACATAGTTCTGATTGCTCGGCAACGCGTTAAAAATATCTCGCGTTCGCGAGGTAATCAATTTAGAGAAAAGAAGCGACGCGACGATTCAACTCGTACGACTGGTACCGTGGCCTAAAGATGAGAAGATCGAGGCGAGCATGTCGAGGATCGAGACACCGGGGACTCAGAAAGGAGGCACTTTAGACACGTCGCCTATCAAGAGCCGAACCATGCTTCCGGCAAAACACAAAGGCTGCCTTCATACCAGCCACCGTCCTCCTCGTCGTCATCTTTGACGACGACCAAGTAATCGAGCCTGGCCGCACCGACTCCGCTCGCTCTTTCGAACGCCGACGAGCAACTTGTTATCATCGCGTTAAACACCACGTGTCCCTTCCAGGCTTGCTAAACTATTCCCCGCGTTTCTATAGTCTCATTGCAAATTGATCGTTTCAATTTCTTGCATTCGTTGATTCCAAAGCTATCGGAATATGGTACGATCAAACTTGCAAGAACGATTAAAAGTTAAATAAATCAAGGAATATGGAAACGAGTAGAATGGTCTCAAGTTCGTCGACGAAGCGATTAGAGCGATAAACCGACTACTCGCGACAATTCAACACCCTTTGCACCCCGAAATCGAGGGCGAGGGAAACATCCTGGCAAATTGCGAGCCGTAAAAGATCGCGACCGATTCAAGTTCCGAGGAGGGTCGACGAACAAAGGCAACTTGGGAAAAGGGTAAGCGGTACAACGAAACTAAACAATGTTCGTAATTAAAACAAACACACTGTCACTATACTCGATGTCTCGCAAAAACCACGCGTTAGATCTTTTCTCTTTAATTTTCTTTATTTATCTTCGATCGAAAAATAATGAAATAGCCTCGATAGAGAAGCTTGACGTAAAAAAATGAAAAACAAAAAAAAGTAAAAGATAAACGTGGAAAGAGAAGGAAGACAGAGAGGTGAAAGAATAAAAGGAGA